TAGAAAGACACCACTTTCCCTCTTTTCAATGGAACTTCTCCCAAAATATCCGTGATCCTAGTTAGTGCCTTATATGTCTCTATTCATTTAATTCTCAATTACCTTTACCTTTGTATACATGGAGGCCAGATCTTTTTCTTTTATAGTTTTATGAATAATTTTAGCTGTTAAATAATATTATTGTTTAGACTGAAAGCTGGCATTTTTACTTCTTCTCCTGCTACGTACTAATCATCACCCTCAGTCTTTCATTCTTGTCCCTCCACTGAAAGTACTCTGTCAAATGTCCCCACAGACCTGACAAGTCCAGTTGGCTTTTTTCTCTCCTTATCTTACTTTGATCTTGTTGTGGCACTTGATAACTGTTGACTATCTTCTCTTACTGCTTTTTACTGACTTCAGTTATACATTCATTTACCAGCATCCAGCTAATATTCATTGATCCAGGCAGATGGTATAACAATGGGCAAGGTGTGCACTTTTGCCATATGCATAGGTTTTAGTCCTTTGATACTATGCTTAATACAAGAGTCACTATTAGACAGACTTCACTTTGTGATCTAGTTGTGCTACCTATAGTTCTATAATCCTGAATGAATTTCTTAATGTTCCTCACTTGTAAAATGAAGGCATTAAAGGATACTTACATAGGAAATTTGAAAAGGATTAAATAATACATGAAAATATTAGTACATTGCTTGGAACTCTATCCACTCTTACTGTATAAGAAGGCTATTATATATATATTCAATATATTGTATTCCTCTTGAAAGACATCTTATCATCTCTCTGACTGATGTCCTTGACTATGGCTTTGGTAATTGCAAGACAAACTTCTACAATGCTGATTAATTAATTCCTCAGCCCCACTCCTGTTTGCCAACCATTATACCATTACCTTCTTTTCCCTAATGATGCTGGGCTCTCTCACCTTCTTCCATCTGTGCTTCATATAATGCATCTGCTAGGGGCTCTTTCCCTTCCTGATTGGGTCTTTGAACACCTGCTTTTCCTTCAAGGTTCTCTTCAATCATTCCCTCAAGAAAAGCCAAATGTTCTTTTTTCTTCCCCTTCTGAATTTCTCCTGCTTGCCTCTGTGACAGCCCAATCACAGTGTAATGTCATGATCTGGTAGGGGTCACAAGATAAAAAGAAACATCTTTTGGTCTTGATATCCTTAGATGTGGCACAACTGTGATCTTAAAAATTGATAATATTTATCAAACAACTACTTAGATGAATGCTTTGTTTCTGGGAAAGAACGGTATTCTCCATGCCAGGTATTACTCTAATGATAGGTATGTCAGAATCAATAGGACAAGATCCTTGTCTTTAAGAAGAGCATGATCTGAGGTGAGATGAGAGAGCATCTGGAAGACAATAGGCCATTCACGAAGAACAGACTATATTTTATTTAGAGCTAAAATATGTCAGCATTTAGGCTACTCACCTTTTAAGAAAGGTGAATTAACAGTAATTTAAAATTCTCGATCTTAACTTATCCATTAATAAGAGAAGTTTTATTATAAATTCTACCTCTTGGGGAAATGTATTCATACAGGCCCAAGTGTCAAGCTGTAATAGCATCTTGTGATATGAGGAGATGAAAAGTGTGTATATGTTTCAAGTGATTTACTCTAAGTAGGGGGTTTGCATCAATTGTAGGCAGAAATGGGAGTCAGAACTGTAGCAGTTATCTGAGCTGAACTACTTTGTGCTTTTAATTTTTGAGATAGGGTTTAAAATGGAAGTCTTAGGTATTGATTCATAGTGAATTTGCTAAAGTTGGGGCAACTGTTCTCTAGTTTTAGTTTTTAACACTTTAAGAATTGTTTTCTTTTCTGATCTTGTGGAGTTTAATAATTGTAGGAATAAAATCTTTATTAGTTAATTGAATATTGCAGTTTATATAAAAGTCCTATGTATTATGTGGATATACTATCTAAAACAATTTTTGATGATATAAAAGTTACTAAATATCCATGATATAGCATTCTATGGGCCTTAGTGGCATCATTTGAAAATGACCAGTCATTGTGTCTTAATGTACAGAAATACATTTTAAAGAAATAGGGATTTCTAGTTGATAGAATGTGTATACAGAGTTTTTATTTTGTTGCCTCTTGTATATTTATTTACTGGTTATTTTCTGGATGATTATTTGAAATTCTACCATCAGGAATAGAACATGAGCTTACTTTACTGTCTTTATATATGTGTTCTTCACTTAATAACTGTGAGGGTATTTTCAGTGTTAGGAGAAATTCCAGTTAGAAGTAATTCTTTTTCTTTATGCTTATAGACACTAAGTCCTTGGGAGACATAATTCTTCAAAGTTTAGACAAAAGTCCATGTAATATTTTTGGTGATATATGAAATATTGTAGTTCAGCAAAGATATCCAGGTTATAGCAATGCTTGTTCTGAATTTAGATTTTAATAAGAATTTCATAATTAGAAAATTTAATAGAAAGAAAGAACACCATCATTGAATGTGGACATAGTTTTAATTTGTTGTAGAAATTTTTAGTTACAATATACTGTAGTAATGGTGATATACAGACTTGGCCTGGAAAAAAGTTTCAGTGAAGGAAAGGAATGTGAATTTTCAAACATAACTAATCAGACTAGAGGATATAGTTTTGAAAGCTAAAAGATATAAGAGTTTTAGAAGGGAGAAACGATAGCATCAAATTAAAGGAAAAATACCTGACAAGGTTAGGTGAGATAAGGACACAACAGTATATATAGGTTTAAATAATTATGAAAGCAGTTTCAACACAGCAGTCAGAGAAGGAACCAAATTTCAGTAAATATTACCTATCTTATTTTCTCTCTCCACACTAGATAATTGGACACATATATGCTATTATTATCCACTCTAGCTGGTGTTAATGTTAGCAAATGCAATATATGTTGAAGAGCAATCTTATAACATGGCAATATAAGATGCAGGGGAATGTTTTGGTATTTATAAATGACTTTCTAAGCTAGCCTTGAACATGAAATTTATGAAACCATAATTAATGTAAAATGTGTCTTAATAAAGAGACACTCATTTAGGTTTTCTATTTTTCATTTCATGTTGATTTTAAAGACTTCTTTGTCAAACTGGACTCAACTTTGCTGCCACAATTATTAGACCCCATCCATATAAGCTCTCAAAATATATTTAATATGTTTTAACTCTATTATTGTGTCACTTCTGAATAGAAGGAAAACTTAGGGAGTGATAACTGTAGGAACAGCAAACTAAAGTACAGACAGCCTATATTCCTGAGGCATTAGTGACATAGCTTCTGTCATTTCTCAGTCCTGCCTGCTTTTCAGGATTTTCTCATCAGGTGAAATAGACTGGACAAAAAAAAATATGAATATGTAAACTATATGTACTTATTTTAGCCAAAGTAAAAGGGAAAGTAATAGTGACTGTAGAAACTATCTTTTACATACAAACTTGGGTCTTCTCTATATTCTATATTCCTCTTTGAGGCATAAATTTTCCCTATATTTTTCCTCAGGTCATTCTAACCAATGAGTCTCACTAGATCACCCGTGATCTTGTTTCAAATTATAATGAATTGTGTCCATTTACTTAGGCATTTTTCATTATAATTTTACTACTATAAGGTAGAGTTCCTTTTGCTAAGCCACCTGGAAATAAGAATGTTGAAAAAACAGACCTTGATTCTGTCTGCTCAATTTGTGCTTTACTCTTGTATGCTGTCATTTTTTTGTGGTTGAAAGAATACAAATCATTCCAAGTTCTGCCATTTTAAATTTTTGGGTCTCTTTTTCCCTGAGGTCTAGCTGACCTGCATGACTACCCATGAAACTGCCAACATTAGGCCTTTGAATCCACTTGGTAGTTTGATGGCCTGCTCTACGCATGTACCACAGATCCCCTTTGGACATTTTCTACCTGATGAATGGATTTTGATAAGGAGTAAGATGGCACTATGGATGGTATATGGATGTAATAGAAAGACATCATGAGTATTCTATAAAGATTAGAGAAGTCATTAGAAAAAGAAAAAGTTATCATTGGTAATATTTATAGCAAGTAGAGTAGGGAATTAAAAAAAAGTGAATAGCTCTACTAGAAGCATTTAAAGAGCTCATGTCTTGGTAGGTAGATGGAAGTGCCAGATAATTAGGAGGAGTCTAGAGAATTTTTAGGGTTGTAAAACTACTCTGTATTATATTATAATTGTGAATACATTTGCCAAAACCCATATGATATATAACATCATGTATGACACCTAAGCTGAACATGATGATGTCTGCCTGAAATCTCAAATACTTGGGAGGCTGGGGAAGGAGGATTACAAATTTATGGCCAGCCTGGGCTACATAGTAAGTAATAGCCTGGGCTATATATGTTTATCAAAACATAAAGAACATATCCTAATGTAACCACTCACCTCATAGGTAAAAACAATAGTCAATGTAGATTCACTTATTAAAACAAATATACTACTCTGGTGGGGATGTTGATAATGGGGGAGCTTTACATGTGTGTGTGCAGAGCAAATATTGGAAAAGTCTGTACCTTCACTCAATTTTGCCATGAAACCAAACATGGTCTAAAAATAAAATTTATTGAAAAACAAATGGACAAACACATTCATTCTCATTAATATCTTAGAAGTATCCAAAGCATAAGCATGAGTTAACTTTTTCTGATTCAAAATGAATGAATTAACCTATGTGTGAAATTTGTGGGCCCAAGAGAAATAGCTCTGTTGCTTCACTCACTAATTACCTCTTTGATAAACACTTTCTTTTAGTTTGCACAAATTTATTAAAATTGACACATTTAATCTTCTGTTCAATGAGCATCCATCCAACTGCCTAAAATACAGACACTGGTTTTAACCCCATTTCTAGATTTCAACTCATACAGTAGTTGGGGAACACAGAATGATAAATTCTTTAAAAGTTATAACTCTAGTCATTTATATTATTTCTTACTAACATTTGCTTCTCATTTACCTTTAGGTTTGAAGTTTGAGGAAATCCAAGAAAGATTTGGAGAGGAATTCTTTAAGATATGCTTCGATGAGAATGAGAGAGTTCTTCGAGCTGTAGGTGGCACATTGCAGGACTTTTTTAATGGCTTTGATGCTTTGTTGGAACACATTAGAACTTCTTTTGGAAAACAGGCCACTCTGGAGTCATCATCTTTCCTATGCAAAGAGCTCCCTGAAGGTTCTCTTATGCTCCACTACTTCCATCCTCACCATGTTGTGGGGTTTGCAATGCTGGGGATGATTAAGGCTGCAGGAAAGAAGATCTATCGCCTGGATGTGGAAGTGGAAGAGGTTGCAAATGAGAAGCTGTGCTCTGATGCCTCAAACCCGGGCAACTGTAGCTGTCTTACTTTCCTTATCAAAGAATGTGAAAACACCAACATCACGAAGAACCTTCCACGGGGAACCTCTCAAGTTCCGGCGGACCTCAGAATTAGCATCAACACCTTCTGCAGAGCCTTCCCTTTTCACTTGATGTTTGACCCCAACATGTCAGTCCTTCAGCTGGGAGAAGGTCTAAGAAAGCAGCTCCGATGTGACACTCACAAAGTGCTCAAGTTTGAGGACTGCTTTGAGATTGTTTCTCCAAAGGTCGATGCCACCTTTGAGAGGGTCCTTCTGCGACTGTCCACCCCATTTGTGATTAGGACGAAGCCTGAGGCTTCTGGTACTGAAAATAAAGACAAGGTAAGTAAGTATCCATGGATTTGAGAAGGGTGATAGGAACCAGTTGAATGGATAATTATTTCAATAAATTACGTGCTGGCTGTACTTGTAAGTATTTAGCCAAGAGCTTTAAGCGCCGTTTAGAAGATTACTTGCCCCTGGATGTATGTAAAAAGATTTGGCCCTATTCCCAGCCATTTTGCAGTGTCTACTTCATTCATTAATTTATTTCAGCACATAAAAAGAAGACATTTATCAATACTAGCCATATCAATTACAAAAATGATAGGACTCTCTAAAAGTCTAATATGATAAACTCATGAATACTTCCACTGACTGAAGTCAAGGTGTGAGAGAAATATTCACTGACTTCAACATTGTGGGTCTTGACTATCTTATCCTTTTTTTTTTTTGGTGTCAGGTCCTTGTGCTTGTGCAGCAGGTGGCGAAACCACTGAGCTAAATCCCCAGCCCCTTACTATCTTATCTTTAAATAAATATAGGTAAAAAGCCAGCTGTACTATGAATATGTTTTCTTCTAAATTTCATAGTGGTTTGCATCCTACATTTATCTTAATATATAGGAGAGTATATTCCCCAAAAGTTTGAAATTGACTATTTTAACACGTCTGATTATTTTTGATGTTGAAATAGAGATTCATTCCTTTTAGAGCACATTCATTCCCTCAGGGAATAGTGTGACCTTGTATCTCCATTGTGGATTTCTTTGAGCTCATTTTGGGAAATCTGAGTTATAAATTATAAATAACTGATGAAAAGACACTACAAATAAATCTTAAAGTAGCTGGACTTAAGCAAACATTTTATTTCTCAGATAAAATATTTTGAAAATGTAATGCTGAAATGAATAACAAATGTAAAAAAATCAGTATTGATTATTTTTATTTTTGATAATATACTTTCAGGTGTTAAAAGGAAAATAACATCAATTTTTAGGGTAGATATTTGAATGTATAGTGTTTCAGTTTTCAATAAAGTGTCTTCAACATTTTTTATCAGGGTAAATAAATTTAGGCTACTTGTTTTGTTTTCAAGTACTTTGGGGAAGCTATTGGCTAATAGAAATAAATAGGTTGCTATGAGCTAAAGAAAGGAAGACTTGCAGAAATAAAAAAATTAATAAATAAAACTTAATTTCTTAGTCCCTTTTTTTGTCACTAAGACACCCAAAATTTAAAAGAAGAGGGGTATATTTTGGTTCACAGTTTTTCCAGATCCCAGTCCCTAGTCAGCTGGCTCCAAGGTAGAAACCGCATGTAGAAGAACGTGGCTGCCAGGAAACAGAGAGAGAAGGGGTGCTCTGGGGAAGGAGATACCCTTCCAGGTCATGCCTCAGGCCCCCAGTGACCCACCTCTAATCAGTCCCCCTTCCTAACTGCACACTCACCCACTGCTGAGTGCAGGACTCCCACAATCCAATCAACTTTCAAAAGCCCCACCTTTGAGTGCATGAAAATTTTGGGGGAAATTCTAGATCTAAATTTTAACATTTATAACCTACACATATTCTGGAGTGTTTGCAATGGTGAATAAATGGAAAAAGAGCCAGCCTCCTAAAAGCAGAATCAGAGATATTTTTGAGAATTTAATGCAATATTGGTTTCATAATTGATTAATCTTTAAAATTTTGAAGTTCACTGGAGCCATTTCACACATAATCTAGCCAAAACGCTGATGGAAACATTTTTATAAAGTATTTGAGAGAAGTGGGGTGATGCACATTTATTCACAATAACTGAATTAAGTGATTTAAAAAGTCATTTAGTAACATTTTTATCATAGCATATAAACCCAGTGATTTGAAATTACTTATGGGCAGATACAGATTCTGATTTGGCACATTTAGATATTTTAGTCTGAATGAATTATCATTATTGTTTTTATTTTATCATATAAATATATTTTCATAATATTTTAATGTGAAAACCATATATATGTATATATGTTCAGCTATTACTGCCCATTTTGATGCATTTTAGAATGGAATAAACTTATTAAATGTGTATTTGTCTACATTTTTTTTTTGGTACTGGGGATTGAATTCAGGACCTTGTGCTTGTGAGGCAGGCGCTGGAAACACTGAGCTAAATACCTGGCCCTTAAATGTGTATTTTTGTCCACATTTGTAGTTGCTTTAAAACTGAAATTATTCTAGCATTTTAATTTAGAGACTATTGAAGCTGCCAGCTCAGTTTTATGGAAGTTCAACATTTAGCTAGGAGGGTTTAAGTATTTTTGGCCTTCAGAATTGAAGTTAATATTTTTGAAAAATGTGCCTGAACCATAATATATTATTACCAATGCTATTTGTCTTATATCTTATAGATTTGAGAAACATCAATTCAATTTAAATTTACTGCCTCAGAGTTTTGGCCCTATATTTCATTTGGCTTGTGTCTCTATTTAATTTCTATACCAGGGTAAGAAATAGACATAATGAAATGATGACTCAAATGTCAAGGCCCCCTGCCAATTCCAATAATAAGGAACTGTACTCATTGAGAAGATACAATTATCATTTAAACATGTTCCTGGCAGTTTAAAAATCAAGCTATAGGCAGGATTCTTAGTTAGAAATGGGTAGTAATCTACTCATCCTTATATTTATAGTTCTGCTTACTCTCCTACATTTGTCAGAATGAGGCATTTGAGAGGTTATAGTTGCCCCACATTGAAACTATAGTCAGTAATAACATGGAGTCTTAGCCAGATGAATAACATTTTTTAATTAGTACATCACAAAATTTCAATATGTAGTGTATTAAAAAATGAAAAGAAGAAAGAAACTCTGGTTTAAAAAATATGTTCTTGATAAATTTGACCTTGACATGCATTATTTCCCTGTAATAGCTCTTCTTATTATTAGATTATTCCATGTGGCCTGAAGTCTGTAATTGTTTAGTTGGCTTTGATAAGAAAGTGCTACATTACAATAATTAAACATATTTATTCCTTCTAACACTTAAAGGCTTCATTATTTAGCTGTTTTGTCTATATTTATATACTTACTAATGAACCACCACCAATGCCATTAAGAAAAAGGCAAGAGTTAATCATTAGCCATGTGATGGTAAAACATTTGCAGATTGAACTGAGAATGCTTTCAGAACCTATGATCTTTGTTGTTTTATGTTGATAGTCACAGGTTAACTGTATGACTAGAAGAAGTACATGCTCATGAGTAACTTGGTGAGGAACTAAGCAAACCAAAAGGCATTTTCCTAACTCCATAGGATTTACATCTTGATCTTGATGTAAATATGGCTATAAACATGAAAGTATTGGCCACCAGGGATGTCCCTGAGAGGCACCTGTTTCGGTAATACATGGCAGCTTTAATTCAGCAGTCTTGAGATCAGAGGAAACTCCCAGATGGCTTGACCAGGCTTTGATCCTGTCACTTGGTCTCTTCTATGTCTTTCTGTAAATTCTCTGCAGCCCATGTTCTTCTCACTCCCACCCCTTTTTTTCTTCATCATATGCATTCTGTTTTTTCATCTTTCCTTAAGCTTAACTTCTTTTTCATCACCTTCTTTTCTTCTCAAATGTCAGACATTAAATATGAATAAATTAATTATTAAAAAGCCCAGATACACCAGTAATAAAGACTCTATTAGAAATTCATATTAATTTGTGATCTTTAAAGCACATCATTCAGATATAATATTGTTCTGAGAACTTGGAAGTTTCTTAAATAGATCTTTTGAGTTGCTAAGCATTGTGGTAAATTTGAGAAGATATTTGCTGCAGTCCAGTGATCTGTCTGGGTTTTAATATTTAGTCATTTAAAACTAACCCACTAAAACAGATCTCAAGATTTCTTTGTATGGAGTGGAACATGTTTGTAGAGAGATCAGGGCAGTGGCACATAACTTTTTCTGTGACTATAGGCAGAGTCATGATACGTGGTGAAAGCACCAATAGATTGAGAAAGATTTTATTAAATCTCTTTAATCTCTGAATGTCAGATTTATCCATCTGGAAATAAGAAGCCTAAACACATAATTGTGCATTTTTACTCTTTTATAAGTCATTATTAACATATGTGCATTTATATGATGTCAGATTATGAGTAAAGATTTATCTCATCCCCTTGATGTAGTGAATTCAGAATCATTTTTAAAGAAAAGACAGGAAATATGGCTTATCTATTATGAAAAACTCATCCTACTTTCAAGACTAAATTAAAATAATTCTCTGACATCTTAGATTGTCTAATGAGAAAGCTATTTGTGAGGATTAAATGACATAATCCATGTAAAATTCTTAACATCTTCAGCTCCATGGTTAATAATGAATATATGTTCATTATTATTACTTTAACCACTATTATTATCAATATTCATTTCCACTTGTAACATTCCTTCTACTTCATTCTCTTCTTGCCTTAGAGAAGAAAGTACTGGATATCAGTAGGTTTAATAAGTTTAGAGAAATATCAGGCTCACAATATCTTCACAAGGCAGAGTTTGAGCTCCACTTCTTTCCTTCAAAAGGACCAGAACATCCCTTCTTTCAAATTCTGTAGGAGCTCTGTTTGAGTCTACTTTTCATTCACATACTATCATTATTTTCATATCCCTGGTTTCCTTTACAGATTAAAAAAAATTGGAATCAATTCTTTATTACCTGTGTGTGCTAATATCTTTCATGTTCACTTATTTTGCAATGACTTCCAAAATAAAATAGGTCAACATAGGCATAAACTGACGCAGCAATAAATTTTGAAAAAAGATAAATAACATGAGTTCTTTTGACATTTTTTGTTGTTGTTGTTTAGTAGCAGTGCTTCAAAAAACTTTAATAACACCCTTGAAGAAGTCCAACATTTGAAATACATCATCCCTACCCAGAACAATATTTTGTTATTCATCTTCATTTTCTTCTCAAGGTTGACATTGAGGAAAAGCATACCAATTATCATAGTTTTTAATCCTCAGAAATATCCTTAATATGTCTTATTCATTAGGTGCTGCAAATAAATGCTAGGAAATAACTTT